AGAGAGAGAGAGAGAGAGAGAGAGAGAGAGAGAGAGAGAGAGAGAGAGAGAGAGAGAGAGAGAGAGAGAGAGAGAGAGAGAGTCACATGAGGAGGAGGGAACTCGTTACATACCTGATTGGGTGTTGTAGGATACTGCGCTGATGAGTGCTGGACATTTGCATTCCGACATTGTATAATAAGACAATTAATTGGAGTTCTTTAGCTGCGCTAATCTGGTGTTCCCACTTATGTGAGGAATGTGTCCTCATGGGGCCCTAGACAACATGCATATGATCTGACTGTGGCCCCCAGCAAGCCTCATGCCCACCCTAAGTGAAGGCGGGCCTGAATATCCACGAGAGGCCCTTAACTCAGCATTTTCCAATGTTGGTTTCAGACAGTTGCTGCACGCCAGTTGGTTGAAGTGCAACCTGAGCCTCACCCTGGGATCTTCCAAAAGAAGAAGCTGCGTCAGGCAGTTGAGCCCCGGATGCAGGTAGTTGTCCCCTGGGCACCTGCGTCCTGGGCTCACGCAGTGTGAGGCCGACACATCACAAAGTGGCCACGGGCCAATTAGAATGCAGCATTGTCGTCACACCTACCCCGCGGACCAATGCGAACACAGCAAACATTCGGAGCCTGGATAATCCTGGGTGTGCCCAACTGCAAAGGGCCCAGGCCCTCAACTGTAAACATGGGCCTGGGCGCAGACACTGGGGCCTGACCAGGAGCTACTGGAAACTTCCACGGCCAGGCCCAGACAGTCCAGCAGCAGCAGTGACTCCCATATAGGGAGGAGGCCGGCCATTGCTCGGCATTCTGGCCTAGGCAGGCAATGCGGACACGCTGCTGCGATTCAGGGCAAGTGTCTGCACTGCGCTAGCGCTGGCTGGGGCACGCCTGGGCGCTGAGAGGTGTGGAACGCTGCAGGGCAGCGGGGTGCCAAGCGGCCATAGCCGGGCTGCAGGGGCGCGGGCAGGTGGAGGCGACAGAGGTCTTCAGGAAGGAGGCACAGATGTGGGTGGACAAGGGGCGATGAGCAGAGTTGACAGTACGTACCTGGTGTATGTGGGAGTTCGGCATTGGTGTTGACGTCATATACATTGGTCTTCAAAGTCAAAGTGAGCAACAGAGTGTTGAGGTCATATACATTGGTCTTCAAAGTCAAAGTGGGCCTGTTGCACGGATGTAGATAGGCTAGATAGGATAAGTAGAGTAGGCTGGGTGCTGGGCGCCGGCCAGTAGGAGAGACATTGAAAACTGCGTTGGTGTGGCCTGAGGGCTTGGACGTTGCCTCACGAGTTCATTGTATCGCTCTTATTTGGATGGAATCTTGGTGCATTTAAGCTCTCTGCTTGTTACACGACTATCTGGACTTCTGCGTGATTTTGCAATTGGTTTTCTGTATATCGCCCTCGCTCATATTCCTTGCACTTATTGTCTCGGCGTGTTCATTCTGCATGTGGTGTGGAGTGTGAATCTGAGCAGATCATTTCAAAAGTGAGCTAAAAACCAATAATAAGAGCTAGCAGTACGTTTAAATGCGGCTTCGCACACGTTAAAAAAAGGGGGTATTGCTGAAAAGGTTGCATATGGGTGTGAATACCAGAACAGACAAGTACAGAGAGGAGGAGGAGAGGAATGGAGGAGGGGGGCAGGGAGAGAAGCAGAGCCCAGTGCAGAGGGATATAGAGCTAGCACAGCTCCGCCTGGCTTGAAAAAGGAGTATTGATGATGATCCAATTATTGTTGGTGAGGAGTGGAGAAGTGAGGCTGCCGAACTGAAAAACTAATGAGCGAGTGAAAAGGCGAACTATGTTCTGTTCTGCATCCAATGTCTCACTGAGAGGAACTTGGCTTGTACTGTACTGTACTGTACTGCAGAGGGAAAATAAGCAGTGAAAAGCAGAAGAACGAAGGATGTGTGGAACATGGGGGGGAAGGGAAAGATGGCATGAAATATGTGTGTGGATAGAGAGGCCACAGCGAAGTGCAGGGAGGAGCGAGAGAGAGAGAGAGAGAGAGAGAGAGAGAGAGAGAGAGAGAGAGAGAGAGAGAGAGAGAGAGAGAGAGAGAGAGAGAGAGAGAGTGAGAGACTATCGGTGTTATGGGTTGTTAGTGCTATCTGCAGTTCACCGATGGTTAGGCAGGTATACTTAAGTGGATGCAGAGAGAAGGGGTGACCAGGAGAGAGGGCCTTCGTTTAAGAGAAAGGAAAAAGGCAAAGGGAAGTAAAGGTTGTGAGCAAGCAAGCGAGCGTGAGGATGAAAGGCACACAGGACTAGAGGGAGAACGACTCAACCGAGGAAGCCTCTTTGTGTGAGAGAGACACAAAAGAGTGAGGGGGAGTCGTTTTTTCTCCTTCCAAGAGAGTGACAAGGAAGGCACCCCGTGCTCATTGAGAAAGAGAGATAGAGGAGAGAGATTGGGCAAAAAACAAATTCAAACAAGGGAATCAAACGAGCTGAAGGGGAGGTCGTGGGAGGTACCTGGCATAAGAGAATTCATACAGGAAATAGAAGAAATCTTATCATTAATATTGAATAAATTCTTACAAGGACGGTGGAAGAGTTGAATCCTGTGCTGCATACCTTTCTAAATTGTATACCTCTTCGAATGCTAAGTTTCATGAGCCAATGATTGCCTTTTGGAAATGGGAAACATAAATGGCAAATGGGGAAAGTAATGGACAAATGGATTTATCCAAATGGCATAAGAACGGCTCTTCTGATGAGTTAAGAATGGGTCGTCAGATAATAACTTAACGCGTATTTTCATGTACGTCTCCATGCCTTTCGACTATTTTGTTGGGCCTGACTCTGCGACGTTGACCAGTCCTGGTTTTGTTGATCAATGGCTTCAAGATTCATGACTTTTGGGAGTGGAGGTGATATGAGAAGATGTGGTTGAGGGCCCCCACCCCTTCTCCCCCCTCAACTGGCCAGTCTTGCTTCTGGTCACCTTTCTCTTCGGCATTCAATGAATCTCGGGAAGCAGAAAATTCAAAATTCAATGACAAAACCCTTCTTTGCCCGAATTAAAACGAATTCGAGAGCTAGCACAATAGAAGGCCTAAGGCCACTCGCAGCTCTCGAAACCGTGAGATCAGACAGCGAAGGAATGTTAGAGATAGCAAACAATTTCTACAAGGACCTCTACCACTCTAAGACTGGGGTACCGATACCCACCAACGTCAGAGAGGCAAGGCAGAAAATGCTACACCACTTAGAGCGAACAATATCAGCCGAACAGGCTGAAGCCCTCGACAAACCAATCACATCAGAAGAACTACATCGGGCTCTACAAAGCATGAACAATAACAAGACTCCAGGAATCGATGGGTTAACAAAAGAGTTCTGGGAAAAATTTTGGCCCTTGCGAGGAGGTGACTTGCTAAACTTCTATAATGACAGTTGGTCTAAGGGGGGGCTGGGTAATCTACTCAGCAGCAGCGTGGTTACGCTTCTTTACAAAAAGGGTGAGAAAGATGACATCAAGAATTACAGGCCCATTTTGCTGTTGACTCTCCCATACAAGATCCTGGTTAAGACCCTGTCCAACCTGATCATTAAGATTAGCAACAAATGTTTCCACATCGACCAAACAGGATTCATCCCGGGTCGTTATATTCTAGATAATGTTATAACACTGAATGAGTCGGTAAGAAAAATCAGAGAAAGGAAAATAAACGCCGCCATTCTCTTCTTTGATTTTGAAAAGGCATACGATC